AGCCAGGCCTTGCAGAGGCCCCCCCAGCCATGGCAGGCCCCCAGGCCCCCCGACCCCACCCCCAAGGCTCCCCTGGGAAAGATGAAGCTTCCCAGCTAGGTGCCATGGCCCCAATCCCAGCACAGTCCCTGACTTGGTACCTCTTCTCCGACTCCGACATGAGGAAGACCTTCTGCTCCACGCGCTCGTGGGGCTTGCCAGCCGAGCCAATGTACACCACGGCCGGGCGTCGCAGGTAGCTGCGAGCCAGGCGCTCCACTGCAGGTGGCATGGTGGCCGTGAACATCACCGTCTGCAAGAGAGATTGGGGCATGAGTGAGAGATCCAAGCTGGAGTGGCCTCAGGGGACTCCCCATCTTCTGGGGGGGCTGGGGGGGACAGGCATGGGGGACCCCTGGAGCTGGAAGAGTCAGGACTGGGTCTCTCACCCCTGCCCCGGCCACTGAAACACCCCCTGCCTCTGTGCTCACCCAGGCTCCTCCTGGGGTTCTGGGGCTCATAACCCAACTTCCCCAACCCCCCTGGACCACCCCTTCTGGGTCCAAGTGCAGCCCCAACACCCTCCAAGGCACCCAGCCCACACTGACCTGCCGGTACTTGTGCTTGCCCGACTCGAAGTTGGCCAGCATCTTCTCAGGATCCTCGGCCTCGTCGGTGTCAGGCTTCTGGTTGGTGACGGGCATGTGCTCCAGAATCTTCTGCACGTCGGGCTCGAAGCCCATGTCAATCATCCTGTCGGCCTCATCAAGCACCACATAGGTGCAGCGGCTCAGCACCAAGTACCGGTTCTCCAGCACGTCGATGAGCCGGCCCGGCGTGGCAATGACAATCTGCGAAGGGCGCCAGCATCAGACCCACTGCACTCCCCCGGCCCCTCCCACCCCCAGCCAGGGTCTGACCCTGTGCTCACCTCACAGCCCATGCGCAGCCGGAAGCCCTGGTCCTCGCGGGAGATGCCCCCAATCACAGCCACAGTGCGAATGCCCAACGGCTTCCCAAACTTGATAGTCTCCTCCTCGATCTGCTGGGCCAGCTCTCGCGTGGGGGCCAGGATGATGGCATAGGGGCCCTGGTCTGATTCCTCAATCCTGCATGATGACATGGTAGGCATGGGACCGTGCCACCCAACCACCCCATCTGCCCTCCCTGCCCTGCTCACAGGCCGGCAGCTCTCACCTGTCGATCTTGGGCAGCGTGGTGATCCAAACCAGCAAGGGGATCAGGAAGGCAGCTGTCTTGCCACTGCCAGTCTCAGCCACGCCGATGATGTCGCGGTTCTGCAGGCCGATGGGAATGGCCTGGCGCTGGATGGGGGTGGGTTCCTGGACAGCAGGGAATGGAGCCAGTGAGAAGGGAGCAGAGCCCCGCAGGGCAGCCAGGACTCCCAGGCCCCCCTACCTTAAACCATACTCCTCCCAGACCAGGAATTCTGGGCCAGGGACTGAGCCCAGCTCATGGTGAGAATGGGCTGCGCACCCTTGGCAGGGAGAGGGAGTTTGCGCTTACCTTGTAGCCGCACTTGTCGATCACCTCTAGGATGTGAGGGGGCAAGGAGGAGTCCTTCCAGGAGCGGATGGGGTTGGGGATCTTGCCGCCCTTGGTGGTGATGCTGTAGTCCTCACGGAAGATGCGCCAATCTCGGTCCGTCATCTCATCCAGCTTCTTCTGCGACCAGTGCCGGTCATCCCAGCGCTGCTTGGCTTCCTTCTTCCGCAGCTTGCGCAACCGGGCCCTGCGGGGAGGGAATACCGGTAATCAGGTCTCCCGTGTGCTCTGCTGGGCAGAAGCCACCTGCCACCCTTGCTGGGCAAACGTGGGGCAGAATGTAGCCAGCCTCACCTCAGACATCCCAGAAGCACCTCAGCTCTAGCCCCACGGAAGCCTCACACCTGCACCCAAACCACTTGACCTCGTGCCCCATCCCTGCGCCCTTGTAGTGCAGCTAGTGCCTGTGACCGGCCCTGGGAACCCTGCAGCCGTGGACCAGACCCGAGGCTCCACACTGCAACCAGCGCCCCCAAAACACATGTCTGGTGTCAGAACCTCCCAACCCTGGAGCCAGGCTCGAGAACGCCCACCCCCGTCACCACAGCAGCCACTCACTCCTCCTGCTCCTTCTCCTCCAGCGTCCGCCGCTTCTCCATCAAGTCCCCGTAGAAACGCGACTGCTCTCGCTTCTGCTGCTTCAGGTCGATGCCGGCAATGAAGCCGCGGCCCAGCAGCTGCACCTGGTGCCGCTCCTTGTACCTGCACAACAGGAGGCGATGGGGTCAGGGCAGCTAGGGCGGCACCTCAGGCTGCTCTGGTGCTCCACAGCCAGGTAGGGAGGGGCGGGGGGGACAACATGGGAAGACCTCCTCTGCCCTGAGCAGGTGACCCCACGGCACCAGTCAGCCCCGGCTCTGGGCCGCACTCACAGTGGGTTGTAGTCGATGGACGTGTCCTCAGACGCGTCCCACTCGAAGACAAACTTGCGGTCATTCAGGTGCCGAGTGCGTCTCCGCTTCTTCACACCACCCAGGTACCGCTCCTGCGAGCAGCACAGCCATCAGCCCCCACCCAGCAGATGCAACCAGCCCCGGGAGCCTAAGAGAAAGGGACTGCCAGCCCCCAGCTCCATTCCTTCAGCCCCCACCCGGCCCCAGAGCTGCGAGGGAACTGAGGCATCCTGGCTCCCAGCCCACAGGAGATATGGACTCCCTGCCCGGGGGCAGCAGCATGAACTGGGGAGCCGAGTACCTTGATGGCATGCAGCTCCTTGCTCTTGTCCTTTTCCTCGCGGATCTTCTGCCGCCCCTCTTCGTCCTCATTGCCATTGGTCTCGCGCTCCATGCGCTCCCGCCGCTCTCGGCGCTCCCGCTCCTGCGGGTCCTCTGTGGGGCAGGCAAACGGGGACTCAGCGTACCCCATACTCGAGGGCAGCACCGAGGGCCCTCCTAGGACTGGGTAGGAGCCACACAACCCCCGACAGGCACTCACCCAGCATCTTCCTCCCCATATCCTGGAACTGCTTCCTCTTCTTCCTCTCCTCCTCAATCAGCCGCTGCCGCTCCTCCACTTCTTGCTGGCGCCTCTTCAGTGCCTCAGCCTCCCGCTCGGCTTTGGAGAGAAACTTGGGCTGGAGAACAGAGGAGGCAGTGAGCACAGTCCAGCAGCGCAGCAGTCCTCCGTGCTCCCATCCTCTCGCACAACCCCAGGCACGATGGGCTGCCTGCCGTACCGCGCTGCCCAGCGCAGAACCAGGGACCCAGAGGGTAGCGGCTTTCTGTCTGCACTACTGCCAAGACCAGGCCCAGCAATAGGTAGGGAAGGAGACAACCCCCCAACAGCATACGGCACTGCTCATCCTCACCTTGGCCTCTGCCTCCTCTTCAGCCTTCTTCTTGGCCAGCAGCTCCTCCAGCGACAGTGGCTGGGCCTGCAAACACAGGACGGGGCCATCAGAGCCCTAGAGTCGCGCCAGCCCCGCGCCGCACCAGGCGGACCCAGTGCCAGGCTGTGCCTGCCCCTTCCCGACACCCCACCTTCTCCTTCCTCAGCGCCGCATCCTCCTCCTCCTCCGCCGCCCTGCGGGAGTCTCTATCCTTCCGAAACTTGGAGTCTTTGCCTCGGCTCGGGGACAAGCTCCTGCGCAGGGGACACCAGGCACGGGCCCCAGCTCAGCCCCCTCCAGCTCCTCGCTGGCGGGATCCCAACCACCCGCTCCAAGGCCCCTCGCCTTCCCCGCCCTCCCGGCCAGGCAGGGAGGGAGCCTCCAGCCGCTCGTCCCGCGCTCCCGCCCCATCACGACCGACCTGGAGCGCTTGCGGTCCTTGTCCCGCCGGTGCCCATCCTTCTCCCGGTCGCGGTCCTTCTTGTTCCTGTCGCGCTCCCGGTCTTTGTGTCGCCGCTCCCTGCGAGGGCAGAGCCCCGTGGCAGCGGCCGCAAACACCG